CGCTGTAACGAGTAAATTAAGTTTATATTTAGCGTTAACTGACAGTTACAACACCAAACAGTGTACACAGAGCAGGAAGTAAACCGGAAATGAGTCAGTACGCTTACCGTAGCACGTCACAAAGTATATGGGACTGGTGGACATATGGCGGTTGATAAATCACAGTGACAGGGAATATACTTTTTTCTCTCACTGCCACCAATCCTATTCCAGGATTGATATGTTTTTGATATCAAACACAATAATAAAACAAGTTGTAAATTGTAAAATGAATGCAATGGCTCTCTCAGATCATGCAGCAGTAGAGCTTAGTATTGACATAAATACTGACACTGAGAAAAAAGTTAGATAGAGAATGAATATATCATTATTACAGGATGAATCCTACAGCTGACTGCTGAAGGAAGACCTTATATCTTTTTTTTTAAATTAATGCTGGCAGTGCAAGCTCAAAAGCGATGGAATGGGAAGCATCAAAAGAATACATCAGGGGGAAAATTATAGCACATTCGTCTAAATAGAAAAAAGATTACATGAAGAGAATAAAGGAATTGGAATCTGAAACCACTATCAAAAAATTTCTCAGATAAATTGTATCGAGATATATGTAAGCTTAAGTTTCAACTGCAAGAAATTTATAATAAAAAAGTGGAATATGCTCTATTTAGGCTGGGGACAAATTTCTATGAAGGGGGAGAGAAGACAGGCAAGTTGCTTGCCAGGCAACTGAAGCAACAAAATTCCTACAGTGTAATACCAGCAATTAAGAAAGGTGATGAAATAGTCTCTTCGACAAAGGAAATAAATGAGGTCTTACAACAGTTCTACAAAGAACTATATACATCAGACATCAATCCCAAACAAGAAGAATTGACAGAATTTTTCTCTAATATTAATCTGCCTAGATTGGCACCCGATCAAGTGGAATTATTAGATAACTTAATAACAGAGAATGAAATCAGGACTGCGGTTTCAAGTATGAAATCAGGGAAGTCACCGGGCCTTGATGGATTTCCTGTGGAATATTACAAACAGTATATAGATACCCTGGCACCAATATTACTAAATATATACAATGAAGCTTTTACATTAGGAACCCTCCCCCCAACATTTAATGAGGCCTTAATATCGGTGATACCCAAAAAAGATAGAGATACCACTAATCCTGCTAACTACCAACCTCTAAGTCTGATAAACCTGGATTGTAAAATATTAACTAAGATCCTGGCTACACGCCTGGAGAAGGCCTTGTTGAGTGTTATACACAATGACCAAGTCGGATTCATGAAAAATAGGTCTTCGACGAACAACATGAGAAGATTACTACACCTGCTCTGGCTGAATCGGAGAGAAAAAGATCCAGTCGTTGCCCTCTCACTCGATGCTGAGTAGGCATTCGACCGAGTTCAGTGGGAATTTTTATTTGCAGCCTTATCACATTTTGGATTTGGAACAAACTTTATTAAATGGATTAAAACTATATACAAGAATCCTAAGGCAGCGGTGATAACTGTGTAATCTCACCTTCCTTTAACCTCACCAGAGCTACTCGACAGGGCTGCGCTCTGTCACCATTACTGTTTAATATTGTACTAGAACCATTGGCTATTGCCATCAGAGCAAATACAGCAATTAGGGGGGTGGAAGGAGGAGGGAAAGAGCACAAATTATTACTATACGCGGATGATATTTTGGTGCTGATAAAAGACCCATTAAATTCGATACCACATCTGATGAACACGATACAATCTTCCTCCAAACTATACAGTATACAAAATAAACTGGACAAAGTCAGAAGCTATGCCTATATCTGGACTATGCAATTCAAACTGACAAATTGCGGCTTCAAATGGATATCAAAAGGTATGACATACTTGGGAATCAAATTAAGCAGTCAAGTGGAGGAAATACCTACATTAAATTTAGAACCATTGCTGCAAAATATTAAAACTAATTTGGATAAATGGGGGAAACTTAGGCTTACATAATGGGGGAAGGTCAATGTGATAAAAATGGTGGTTGCACCGCAATTTAATTATGTGCTCATGATGCTGCCAATAATTATATCTCCTCAAATCTTTAAATAGTATGATACAATAATTAAAGAATTTTTATGGGACAGGAAAAGACCCAGAATTAAATCCA